CTGTAATCCCAGCACTTTGGGAGGCCAAGGTGAGCATGTCACCCAGGGTCAGGAATTCAAGACCAGCCTGGCCAAGATGACAAAACCCCATCTCTACTAAAAACACAAAAATTAGCCAGGTGTGGTGGCAGGCACCTCCTGTAATCCCAGTTACTAGGAAGCCAGGAGGCAGAAGTTGCAGCGAGCTGAGATCACACCATTGCACTCCAGCCTCGATGACAGAGCAAGACTCTGTCCCTCAAAAAAAAAAACCCATAATTTCCAAAAGTCATCTCATGGAAAGATCACAGGATGAAGGAAAGCTAGACTCAACTCTGTGAATATAAAAAAGTTGCTATACTGCAGTATAGCAACAATTCAGAATGTTGATGGTCTGAGTTAGTTTTATGTAGCATCCTTTTGGGCTAGGGTTAAGTAAATTACTAGAACTGAACTTGGATAATTTGACATTTTGGGAAATGAAATCTGTCTTTGAGACTTGTTCAGTGTACTTTAAACAATCGAGGAAGAAAACTTAAATATGCACCTATTTATACCTATTCTGTTAGTCAACATTTAACATCCATTGCACACAGTAACTAGTCCCTGTCTGCTCACTCCAGCAACTTAGACCTTAACAGTCACAGGAAATGTTGTTATAAAACCTGATTAAATTAAGGCAGTTTTGATTATGGTCTAGGTCCACCTATGTCTGAGGCTAAATTCAGTACCCAATTGAAATTCTAATTGCTAATGAACAAGTTTCCAGGATACTGTAAAGAGAAAATACAATTAGTCAATTCAAATAAATGCAAACCTGACAAGAAATCTGTTTGCTATTTGGCCTGCCAAACAGAAACAGTAAAATTCTGCTTTAACTCTTCTCTAGTCTCCTTGCCCCCAGCTGCACCCACTACCCCAAACTTTGCAGTTTTGAGGTATCATTTACAAGGAATTTTTAAGTATTAATATTTCCCTCAGAACTATGTGCTAAGGTTATGCATACAACTAGTCAATTCTGTTATATTACACTATATACAAACACCAAGTCATTTAAAAGAATCCCTTGGCTGGGTTTTTTCCCCTTTGTACTACACATTGATTCACCCTGACCAAGGAACTCCAGTGAAAATTCTTAGTGTCAGCTGGGCAACTCATTAACCTCTCTTAATGTCTGGAAAAAAAAAAATGCAGTCAGCCACAGAAATAACAAAAACTTGAAATTTATCTTTCAGGTTTTGCTTTCTATCTTCCTGGACTTTGATTAAAGTATCTCATATTCACAGTTCACAAATCCATTAACCTCCACTATTTGTCTTTTTCACATTAAGAGCTTATGCTTAGATTGGGTGCGGTGGTGCACGCCTATAATCCCAGCACTTTGGGAGGCCAAGGCGGGTGGATCACAAAGTCAAGAGATCGAGACCATCCTGGTCAACATAGCGAAACCCTGGCTCTACTAAAAATACAAAAATTAGCTGGGCATGGTGGCGTGTGCCTGTAGTCCCAGCTACTTGGGAGGCTGAGGCAGAACTGCTTGATTCCAGGAGGCAGAGGTTGCGGTGAGCCGAGATCAAGCCATTGCACGCCAGCCTGGGTAACAAGCGAAAAAAAAAAAAAAACAACTTAAAGCATGTCCCCCTTTTCTAACTTGCTGGTTTACTATAAACTCCCCCAAATAATAAAGTTCCTCACCCAGTACTCAGAGTCCTCCTTCTCTGCCACTTGGGAATTACCAGTTTTTAAGCTGTCATTGCACAAGAATCCAAAAATCCTTAAGATTTTTTTAACCACTAACAAATTAGGTTAACCATTTAACCTGGTTCATGCTTTCATACTAAATATTCAGGTTTATCATAAACTTATCTAAAAACCATCAAAGGCCGATGAGAAACTGCTGATTGCTCTTGAAAGGATAAAATAGATAAGATCTTCGGAGTTTAAGCTTTTCTGAGCTGTGTTGTGAAAGAACTTGTTTCTATGGTATATTCATTATAACATGGAAATAGGACAACTATGGTATTTAAAGAGCCTCTGAAAAATGAGGCCAGTACATTGTGACGTTTAATTTTCAGTGTAATTTATTACAAATAAACTGGTTCATGCTGACTACTTGTATTTAACAATCCAGTCAATTTTAAGAACTGTCGAACGTGAACATGTTTAGCATTGTAAATGGGCTCTGCCCCAAGACTGCCTCCCCTGAACCCCTTTCTGCCTAGTTGTATCCCAACCTGGTATGTTACTTCTGGGTATGTTTTTTTTAAAAACGGTGGTCCAGGCGTGATAGCTCACACCTATAACCCCAGCACTTTGGGAAGCCAAGGCTGGGGGTGCGGGGGGTATTGCTTGACTCCAGGAGATTGAGACCAGCTAGGGCAACATGGCAAAACCCTGTCTCTACAAAAAACTAGCCAGGCATGGTGGCACATACTTGTGGTCCTGGCTACACAGAAGGCTGAGGTGGGAGCATAGCTTAAGCCTGGGAGGCAGAGGTTGCAGTGAGCCAAGATCTAGCCACTGTACTTCAACCTGGGTGACAAAGATCCCGTCTCAAAAATATGCGGACACTCACATCTAAAATTTACAAAAACAGTGCAAAAGTACTTATCCATAGTAGACACAGAAGACAAGGAAGAAGTTTTCCCAGGAGGACTATGCTCTTTTATTATACCCAAGTTATTTAATTAAAAAAAAAAAAAAAAAATCAGGCCAGATGTGGTGGCTCACGCCTGTAATCCCAGCACTCTGGGAGGCCAAGGCAGGCAGATCACGAGGTCAGGAGTTCAAGACCAGCCTGGTTAACATGGTGACATCCCATCTTTACTAACAATACAAACATTAGCTGGATATGGTGGCGTGTTCCTATAATCCCAGCTACTTGGGAGCCTGAGGCAGAAGTGCTTGAACAGGGACCTGAGAGGTGGAAGTTGCAGTGAGCCAAAATTTAATGACCACACTCCAGCTTGGGCTATGGAACGAGACTCCACCTCAAAAAAAAAAAAAAGAAAAAAATCGGTTTACCTACAACCAGCCTCTAAGAACTATGAAGGTCACATCCAGCACACCAATCCATTTCATGCAGAGAAACCTCATTTACTCTCACAGCAACTACTACCCATAAGCTGATCCTCATTAACACCTCCATGCCACTATAATATTGCCACTTGGAAATTTCTCCTACAAGACTCATATTGTTTTGAAATCCTGTCAATACCTTCCAAAACATCTCCCTTCCAATCCCACTGCTGTTAAGTGAGTCCCTGGCAATCCAGGAACCATTCACTTAGTAAACAGCTACATGCCATTGTTCTAGATACTTGGAATACACCAGAGTACAAAATTACATCCTTCTGGAGGTTACATTCTAGCAGGAAAAAGCAAATAATCAATACACAAGGCAAACTGTAAATATTAAATTATAAATGCTACAAACAAAAACAAGTGGAGAAGGGTAAGGGGACAGTAGGACAAGCTAACAGAGGAGGTGCCACTATTTTTAATAGCGGGGTCAAGGCAGGATTCACTGAATAGACCTGAGGTAAGCAAGTTAGCCACACAGCTCAGCTGAGAGCATTCCAAAGGGAAAAAACAACTTAAAGGCTTAATGGCAGTGTTTGGTATCGAGGAATAGCCAGGTCAATTCAGCTATAGTGCAGAAGTCAGAAAAATTGGGTTAAAAACAGCTGCAGGTGCAATGGAGAAGCTATTTTGAAAAGAAAAAAGGGAAAAAAAACCCATTGCAGGATTTGAAACGTGCTACAATCCATTTCAAACCCAGTACCCGGGTTGATGCTGAAAATAATGGAAGACAACCAGTTAAGACTGCCACAGCAATCCAGGTGAAATACAGGTTTTCATTTTCTACATTATGAGAAATTTGTATATAAGCCTTGTTTCCCAACCTTTCAGGGGATGTGACCTTGTTTCATGTTGATCCCATTCATTGCCTACAACCCCATCCCAGATTATTTCTAGATTTATCATTTCCTCCAATTTCTTAAAAACCTAAACACATAATCATCAGATTCCTGAATATCATATATTCAGTTAGAGCACCTGAATCAAGATCTAAGATTTATAGGGCATGGTGGCCCACACCTATAGTCCCAGCCCTTTGGGAGGCAAAGTGGGAGGAACACCTAAAGCCAGGAGTTCAAGACCAGCCTGGGCAATATGAGACCCCATCTATACTAAAAACAAAACAGATTTGACAGTGCCTGCCTGTAGGTCTAGCTACTAAGGAGACTGAGGCAGGCAGGAGCATCACTTGAGTCCAGGAGTCTGAAGTTACAGAGCTACGACTATGGCACTGTACTCGGCCTGGGCAACTGAGCAAGACCTTGTAAGATCTTAGATACACATATTCCAACTGGTTGCTACAGCTCTCCTTTTAATTTTTCTGATAAAGTATCTGAATGTACCTTACCATGAAGATACTTATGTTTTCCTGATGCATTTGATCAAGGATGAATGTTAAATTTTGCCTGAGAAATTAGCTTCCATCAAATGAGATGTAGAATTCAGGAAGGGTTGGGGGTGGGGCGGTCAGTCACCATGTTGACCTAAGTCTAGTTATGGTGGTCTCTTACCATATTTAAAGTGTGACACATGGAATTAAGAGATTATGGAAGGGTTACCAATTTTTAAAAACAAGTTCTAGGGTATGGAAGTAAATGGCAGAAGTAGGGTAAAGGACAAGATTATTGAGACCATGAACCAAACCAAATGCACCTTCTAATTCTTACTGATGTTATATCACTTTGTTCCACTCCTCAGCTGTTTTTTTCAAAAGTGACTAGAACAACCTGCCTGACCAAATATTCAAACTCATGCCTCAGCAAATTTAGATACCTTCAGGGTATTCCCAAAGTTCTATATGCAATGATAAACGGCCTCATGTTTGCCTGTCACTGAAACAATATTCCTCTTGCCTAAAATATATCCTTGCTATTGCTTCAATAACCAGATTCTCCTTCTTCCATGAGGGAGAAAAACTAGCTAAAAAAAAAAAGGATAACTGGTTTAAGAAAAAGTTCCAAATTAATAGGTCTTTTATTGCATCATTTAAGTATCACAAGTAGGTCTTAGCTATGATAGGCATCTTGTGTTTCTGTAGCTGGACAACTGTAAAAAGAAACAAAAATATCTGTTAATTCCCATCAATGCCCCTGCCCAGAAAAGTACTAATCTTTTTTTTGTACTATTCTAAATAATCTAAAACATACCTCAAGACTATGACTTATTCATAGTAAACTATACACACAGTAAAATGCACGCCAATTCCATCTCTTATTCTGTCAAATTTACTGTGTTCCAGAATCCTTAACTCTCCATTTTCCATTATAACAACTCTGGTTTAAGTCTTTTAGTAAATTAAGACATTCATCCAACTAAAGCAGTAACAAAACTACAAGAACCTACCTCTAAGGTCTTACTCATCAGCCTGCTGAACAGTTCCTTTTTCAGAGACATAGATACCATCCAAAAATTTCCGGATATCCTTGTTTTTAACTGTTGTTGCTTGCTGAATCAAAGCCGCTACAGCAATGAAGATAAAGCAATTAATACATCAGCCTAACCAATCTTAAAAAGAATTTCAGGGCTGGGCGCGGTGGCTCACGCCTATAATCCCAGCACTTTGGGAGGCCAAGGCGGATGGATCACAAAGTCAAGTGATCAAGACCATCCTGGTCAACACGGTGAAACCCCGTCTCTACTAAAAATACAAAAATTAGCTGGGCATGGTGGCGCAGCCTGTAGTCCCAGCTACTTGGGAGGCTGAGGTAGGAGAATTGCTTGAACCCAGGAGGCGGAGGTTGCGGTGCGCCAAGATCGTGCCATTGCACTCCAGCCTGGGTAATAAGAGTGAAACTCCATCTCAAAAAAAAAAAAAAAAAAAAAAAGTATTTCATTATGTGCTCTACTTACAATTTCAGAATATTACCTCTTTAAATTATTTTCATAATTTAAAAAGCTAATCAAAAAACTTGTAGGCATAATTAGACATAGTAAACATACAAACCTGAATTTGAAACAAGCTCAATGTCATTTCCTTCAAGGATTAATTCATCTTTCTGGGCTTGTGATACTGAACAAGCAACACCTAAAAGCAGAGAGTATTTGCATAGCATCAATATAAAACCAGATCTGTGTAAAAAGTATTTAAATTGCAGAAGCATTAATTGATTCCATGTAAAACTCCATGCACCAAATGAACCTTTGATTATAGGCATGAGCCACTGCACCCGGCCATGAACCTTTCTTTAAGATTTTGGTTTTAGGCCAGGTGCGGTGGCTCACGCCTGTAATCCCAGCACTTTGGGAGGCCGAGGCGGGTGGATCACGAGGTCAAGAGATCAAGACCATCCTGGTCAACATGGTGAAACCCCATCTCTACTAAAAATACAAAAAATCAGCTGGGCATGGTGGCGCGTGCTTGTAATCCCAGCTACTCAGGAGGCTGAGGCAGGGGAATTGCCTGAACCCAGGAGGCGGAGGTTGCGGTGAGCCGAGATCATGCCATTGCACTCCAGCCTGGGTAACAAGAGCGAAACACCCCCTAAAAAAAAAAAAAAAAAAAAAGATTTTGGTTTTACAGCACCTGCCTTAGCTGTACCATAGTTTTATTTGTGTTCCTACTTGAATAATTCACAGTCCCATAGTGGTTACTCCTTTGGTGATGCAATTAAGATATTCAAATAGCAGGATTTAGTTGGACAAAGCTTTGTACCAAGTCTTAGTTTATTTTTACATATGGGTTCTCATTAAATGTTGCTAAGCATAGCTAGTATCATAGCATTATTTTTGGGAGTGCCATTAATTTGATACTAATAATCTCCCTTCTTCTCACCCCTCCCCATCCCAATGGAACAAAAATACATCAAGAGGCTGAACCAGGTGCACCTTAAAAGGCCAAGGTGGAAGAACTGCTTGAGCCTACAAGTATCAGACCAGCCTGGACAACATAGCAAGACCCTGCCTCTGCCAGGCGTGGTGGCTCATGCCTGTAATCCAAGCACTTTGGAGGCCAAGGCGGGCGGATCACCTGAGGTCGGGAGTTCAAGACCAGCCTGACCAACATGGTGAAACCCCTTATTTATTTAAACAAACAAAAAAAGACCCTGCCTCTAACAAAAAATTTGCACCTATAGTCCCAGCTAGTGGGGAGGCTGAGGTGGGAGAAACACCTGCACACAGGAGGTGGAGGCTGCAGTGAGCTGAGATCAAGCCATTGCACTCCAGCCTGGGCAACAGAGCAAGACCATGCCTCAAATAAAAAAGCACTAAACTCTAAAAATTTTTAAATCTACAGTGTTTACTAGGTACTACGTGTGTACTGTTATGTTTTTTAACTTTAACTCATTTAATCAAAGATGTTTACAATTTTAAGCTACAGAGAGATGATCTGCCCAATATGGATAGTGAGAGCTGAAACTGAAGCTAAGCTATTAACCATTATTCATGTGGTTTTCTTTAGATTTTAAAGGTTCTTACCATGAAGAAGTGGAGTTATGGATATGTTAATTAGCGTAATTTGGTCATTCCACAGAATATACATGTATTGAAACATCACGTTGCGCTCCATAAATACACACCATTATATACACCTTTTGTAAATCAAGTCTTTAAGATCTCATTTGCCAATGAAATACAACCACCACTGCAAACTACTCCAGTGTATCAACTTTCTGTAACTGTAATCAATATAATAATATAAACCCCCAAACAGCACCAACAGTTGTAAGCATAATCAAGAGACAATTCTAAAATACGGTTTTATTCAAAGCAAACACAGAACACCAGCCAATGGAAGTATGAAGGAGGCTGGAAATGGAGAAGGAGAAAAAAACATGAAGGAAAATGTCTCAATTCCATCTGAGGGTATGCACATACCTGGTCTCATTCGAACCCTGCGGATGTATTTTTCACCTAAGAAATTTCGGATTTCAACAAGAGACCCATTTTCCTGGATAACGACGTTGATGGGGAAATGAGCATACACAGACCTCATCTTGTAACGGAAGCCCTATGTTAAATAAATAAGCTATTAGCAATGCTGAGGAATATTTTTTTCCGCCCCCACCCCGCTGAGGAGTATTTTTTAATAGTTTTTAAATTTTCTATGATTATACTTATTTTAAACTGTAACACTCACTGTCAAGATTTTCTAACAACTGTCACCTGAACCAAGCCTTACAAACACTGTTCTATTCAGTGGACTGTCAAGTTCCTTACAGAGGCATTTATTTCACTATCCCGTATGCCCCCAGTAAACAATGCTAACTTCTTTTAATGAGAACCCCAAAGCGACATTAGACTAACACTTACTGAGTTACTAAGGTACACCACATGGCAAGAATTGAGGCTAAAGCCAAAGACAGCCCCCCTGCCTTCAAGGAACTTAGTCTGGGAGGAAGGGTAGATGGGGAATCTTAACAGATTTATAATAGATGTACAGGTTGCCATTATCAGGTGCACTCCAGAAGGCATAATGCAAAGAAAACCATTTCAGCATGAACTTTTTATCCTGAGGGGAGAAACAGTGGGCTGGAAAGAAGAGTGACATACATTTACAGCAACAGAGAGAAAACTCAGAAACTACATCTTTTTCTATCCCAGCAAGGGGTCCTGATGGTGAGAGCTGATTGTCGACTAGTAATCAAAGCCTGTCCTCTGTACTGCAACTGCAGATTTCCTGTTTAAAAATAGTGAGACCGCAGCCTTGATTTCAAAAAACAGAACAAAAAGCCAAATATGTTGTACCTATCTGGTCTTTACTCTCAGCTGTATCACTTAATCTTAAAGACCCAGAGATGCCTATTTTTGCTAAGTTCTAGAGGTCGTGCATTACACCAAACAAAATGCATAACCCATTCTCTGAAATAAACACTTATGCTATATAAATAAAACACAGGTGAGAAACCTCCCTTTCCAAAACAAGGCAGCCTGATCCATCTGCTTACCAGCGTAACACCCTTGATCATGTTCTGTACATGGCTACAAATAGTCCGAACGGTAGCAAGTTCCTTTCGGTTACCCCACCATTTGTCAACCCGGAGCTGTAATAAAACAAAAAATTATTCTTTCCAGAAATGTGTAGGCTTAAAAGAGAGCATACCACTTACCGAATTACTTTAAGATTCTAGAATTAACCCTAATCAAAGCACATGGTTTTCAACCGGAAAAATCCAACCACCTATAAATCCTCCCAACAGTTAAACTTTGTACAAGTTGCGACAAACTTCCCTTCTGGAAAATTAAATCAGGTTTAAAAGACCTACTGCCAGTTCCTAAGATTGTGACAAAGCAATCACGAGGAAAACACGCCAAGTTTCTAACACCATAAAGACGTGCCACTGATGACCCCTACTACATTTGAGCTTCATATAATCCGCTATTCAGAATCTGGTTTTTCAGTTTCACTAACGCAAAACTGGCTGCTATTCTGGACATTTAAAACTAAATAAAGCACTGAACCTCAATTCGAAAATTGTTAAAGCGACCAAATGTGATACTGTTATAAACTACCTTCCAAACAAGCAACTGAATTATCGGAAGAAAGAAAAAAACCTCACCCTCTTTTTTTTCTTTCCAAGAAGACTGAGTTCTACATTGATGTGATTGAAGTCCCTCCGCAGGGTTCCTCTGGGGCCCTTCACGAGAACTGTGCGTCCCTTCAGAGTAATGTCGACTAGAAGAGAACACACTAGTCAGATCATACAATGCTTGAAACGTCTAGTAAAGATGTAAGAAAAAGACATCAAGTCTCATACCATTTTCTGGAATGTCGACAGTCTGATTGCTGAGAATGGTCTTCATTCTGAAATACAAACACTGGGGGTGAGGCCGACGTAAGGCCTGTTTTCCACCAAACTACACAGCAGAGATCCACTCCTACCGGAGACTGCCGGACTAAGTGCCGGGGAGGATATAGGACAGGGAACCGATAGCCGGCCCCAGTGCGTCCCGGGCTGTAAGGAGCAGCCCCGAAGCGAGCGTTACGAGAACCAGCGGGGGAAGTGCCGCTCAGCCCAACCCTGCAAGTCCTATTTGGGCGGCGCCATCCCGACAAGGCTGAGGGGCAGGAATAGGCCAAAAAGCCCAGAATAGGACTTGCATCCGGCGCCGCCAGGCTCATATGGCGCTTGCCGAGGTGGGGGACAAACCGGATAAGGGATCCGAGAGTCGGAGCCGCACCGCAGACTTTCCCAGAGCAGATGGGTTCGGATTCCCAATGCCCCCAGAGCACAGAAACAACCTCACCTCGCAGTAAACGCAGCAAAGAAGGAACGTCTTTCCTCATCACGTACTTGTATCCCGTAAGGGGAGGGGCCTGCGTATTGCGTCATGAGTACGCGACGTTACGTAAGGCTAAAGCAGCCAATCGTGGAGCAGCTCGACTCTTTGTCATAAATGGAGCGACGTATTTTCGACCTGTCTTTTCCCTGCGGTTAGCTATCCCTCAACCCTTCCTCTGCCCTAGTCCTGTAAAGGAAATGTCTCTACGCTGCAGAGATGCCACCCGCACCCTGGGGCTCCGGGTGAGCGGCGGGGCAAGCGGGTTTGGGCGTGGGGTGGGGGATCCTATTCCTTCTCAGAGCGCCTACGCCCGATAATAAAGGCCAGTGCTTTTACTGAGCATTTACTTTTAGCCAACGGCAGTTTTAAACGTTTTTCGTGTAATCTCATTTAATTCTCCTGCCAGTCCCATGATACAGAGTCTCTGGCATCGATATGTTTGAAAGTCTTTCTGGGCCTGCACTGAGGACTTATTTTCTGCTTAGAGTGATTTGTACCTAATATTTATGGAGCACTGCAGTAAGCATCCCACATAGCTATTCTGTATTGGACTCTTAATGTGTATAAGACACTTTAGCCGCAGAGAACACAAACTTGTCCTCTAGGCTTTAGCTGTAGACATGGAGAAGTGCAGTAGCAATCGTGCAACACCCTAACAGGCACTCTTTGAATTGTTGAAGGTTCTTTTGCGTTGCATATGCAGACTCGTGGATTTTGTAGTGTTTTGGCTCTCTCATGCACTTTTGTGTTCTGATGTAAAAGCCGAATACCATGATTTCTTATGCTTATGACTGCCATGTTCAAACACAGAAATAATGTAACCTAGAAAGTAAAAAACGTTAGGCTTGGCCGGGCGCGGTGGCTCAAGCCTGTAATCCCAGCACTTTGGGAGGCCGAGGCGGGTGGATCACAAGGTCAAGAGATCGAGACCATCCTGGTCAACATGGTGAAACCCCGTCTCTACTAAAAATACAAAACATTAGCTGGGCATGGTGGCGCGTGCCTGTAATCCCAGCTACTCAGGAGGCTGAGGCAGGAGAATTGCCTGAACCCAGGAGGCGGAGGTTGCCGTGAGCCGAGATCGCGCCATTGCACTCCAGCCTGGGTAACAAGAGTGAAACTCCGTACACAAAAAATAAAAAAAAAAAAAAAAAAAACGTTAGGCTTGGTTTTCCCCCTTCCAGTTTTCTGAAACCAACTGGGCATTATTAACCTCCACGTTTCAATACTTACGCTTGTTCTCAAAGCTATAGAGACTTACTACACACTTCACTTTAAACGTCCCTGATTCAAGTCAGGACTAGAAAAATTTTATACTGTGGCATCTTCTTCAGTTATTGCAGTTCAATCTTGTTGAAAGACAAACATCTAGTTCCTGGTAGGTGGAGTACATGAAAATGTGATATATGTTAGATCCAGAGATTTCCAAATCTATTCTAAACTCAGTAGTAAACACTCAACTCCTGTTTTAGGTTTGGTTCCTTCAGTTTTCTTTTGTATTATATTCTAATCCCCTAGGCTACTAGAGCTCCTAGTTTGACATAATTTCTGAATGACTTTTTGGCTTTACTCTTCCTTTTAGGTGTCATGATGGGTTAAAATGAAATTATTCCGGACTCCGCTAAATGAATGTCATAATGACTCTTTCTTTAGGTATTTGGGAGATATTTATGCAGCCCAGTCAGACTGTTAAGTTCCTTGCCAGATGAAAAAAAGGAACTTTTACAAAATGGACCAGACCTTCAAGATTTTGTATCTGGTGATCTTGCAGACAAGAGCACCTGGGATGAATATAAAGGAAACCTAAAACGCCAGAAAGGAGAAAGGTAATTGAAAATTTGAGATAATTGTAATGTCTCGTTCCTTTATTGTGCATTATTTTCAGATATAACCCAGCCCTAGAATCTATTTTTATTTATTTATTT